GTTTCTGTATGAGAAACCCAACACGATTGGTATAAAAGAACAGAGTTCCTATGTCCCAAACTCCTATGAGAAGTCGTCTGACAGATTTGACTTAAATGGACAGTAGGTATATCTCAGCTTTCTGAACAATTTCTGCCCCTGCCAGATCTTCTGTTTAATAGCCCTTTTCAAGATAACAGACAAAAATTTCATCTTACTCCTATGTTTTATTTTTAGCAATGTCCGCCGACATGGTTTTCAGGCAAGATCATCGGACACATTTCTAAAACTAGATAGCCTAATGATGATTGTGGCCATGTTTGGTTAAATTTGGCTAAGTAGTTAGAAGAGAAGATTTTTGTAAAATTTAACGGAAGACAGACGCTAAGTGATTTGAAAAGCTCACTTGGTCCCTTGGGTTGATCATTTTATGGAAAAGAAATATGTTTATAACACTATGGATGTCCATAACACAGATTCTGATAAAGTTTCTCGAGCAGAAAACATAACTATTAAGTAAACCTAATATCAAGGAATATTGTCGTACTTAATTAAAGAGCAGTTAAATATCATGGGTATACTACAATGGGCTCTCAAGTATGGGTATACATTCAAATAATTCAAAAAGTCCCTCATGCATAAAATGAAACACAAAAAATTACAACTATGTGTGATAGGTTTACTGATAAGACCATAACTGCATTGTAAGCTTGAAAATGTTTTTCATTTCAATTCTGCTATTCAAATACCTTTATCTTTAAAATTGAGAATGGAATTGGGGAATGTGTCAAAGAGACAACAACCCGACCAAAGAGCGGAAAACAGCCGAAGGCCACCAATGGGTCTTCAACACAGCGAGTTGAACCATTGAACTTTAACCATTCCTAGGAGAATCCTAAGACAATCTTTTTGACCAAACAGTGAAGCCAAAAAAACAGGTGTTAGTTCCTGACCAGCACAAATGTCAAGTCGAGCACCATGTCTTACTAAATAGGCATGGACAGTAGCATGACCGTTCACTGCAGCAGTGTATAGAGCAGTGTATCCTGAGAAGATCTGGTGGTTTATGTGGGCTCCATTTTCCAGTAGCACTTTAAATAAAGGCAACAGTAGTATATCGCTGTTCAAAAGTCATAAATCTATTGAGAGAAAACAAATCCGGGTTACAAACTAGAACCGAGGGAAACATTAAACGCATCAACTATAAGAGGTAAACAATGGAACAACAGAAACACTGAAGTGCAACAAAAACAAACGGCCAGCATACATAGAAACGAACTATTTGATAACAACTGCCATATTCCTGACTTGGTACAGGACATTTTAAGAAAAATGGTGGGTTGAACCTGGTTTTATGGCTAGCCAAACCTCCCGCTTATATGGTAATGTTAAACAATATCGCTAAAATGACAACACTACGTGACAGAAATAAAGCACAAAAAACGCAAGAACAATCAGCATAGAGAAACGCACAAATAAATAATATAATAGTCGTTACAACATGTAAACCGCAGAATAACAACGAACATCTGCCATTAACGACAGCACAGGACATCACAAACAGTGACGTATTTTTGTAACGAATATATAATCTTGAAATTCATACAATTATTTTCACAATACTAGTCCAAACAACTATCATGACTATGACGGTATTGAAAGGCTATTTTAAATAAATGCTGTGATGACGTCATATAATTATTTGTACTAACACAATACTTTATCCATGGAAAATGGAAATTAATTCGACTATACTGACAAATAATTTTCACACATTCCATGCTGTCCACATTTAAAGCTGAAATTACAATATAAAATTGAGAATGGAAATGGGGAATGTGTCAAAGAGACAACAACCCGACCATAGAGCAGACAACAGCCGAAGGCCACCAAAGGGTCTTCAATGCAGCGAGAAACTCCCGCACCCGGAGGCGTCCTTCAGCTGGCCCCTAAACAAAAATGTATACTAGTTCAGTGATAATGGACGTCATACTAAACTCCAAATTATACACAAGAAACTAAAATTAAAAACGATACAAGACTAACAAAGGTCAGAGGCTCCTGACTTGGGACATGCGCAAAAATGCGGCGGGGTTAAACATGTTTTTTGAGATCTCAACCCCCCCCCCCCCTATACTTCTAGCCAATGTAGAAAAACAAACGTACAACAGTACGCACAGTAAAACTCAGTTTAAGAGAAGTTCGAGTCCGATGTCAAACATCAACTTTACAAATCCGGAAAAAATTTGAAGGATTTCAATTTTGAGATTTTTCCTTATTTCTAACACATTTATAAATACAAACGATACTTTGTTGGCCTCAGTAATGTTTGTTTTTATACATAAACCTTTATTTCAGATATTTTTTCACCAAAAAAAATCCTCAAATTGACTTTTTTTAAACAAAACTTAAAAAAAATCCAGTTTTCAACCAATAAAATGTTTATATCACCTTAACCTTCCAAATCGTATAAAACTTACGTAACAATCAAGTGTCATGATGGACGATAGTTCAAAAATATTTTTAAATTAGCTTTAGTGTGCGAGATATCAAGCCAGAAGCAACAGTACACTACGGTCAAATATGACTTCATATTGAATTTGCGATACTGTTTTTATACTTTATTTAAAGAGGACTTGTTGCTACTATTATTTATCGATCAATACCACTGCTCTATAACATAGTCTCCTTTTGAGTAGTTTACACTGGTTAATGTCTATAACATGATCGGTTTTACTCTCATCATCCCTATGCCTTTTCCCCTTGCAATGTACCACAGACTTTAAAAGGTATTCAAGCCTGATCTCCAGCTTCATGATTTCTGTCACCTATCAGAAGACCTGCATTAATGTTTCCACACATTTCACTTGATTACATGGACACAGGTATGTACATGACAGTTTCTGCTCAAAGCAAACACATTCTTTTGAGCGAACATATTTTCTTTTACAAGTACAGACAATGTCTAATAGGAAGTCCGAAGACATTTGACCCTCGCAAAATACCGGCTTCAATCAATCATTATCAATCCATCAAACTTTAGCGGAGATCTAAGAGGTGGTTTAGGAAGGTGTAATGTCATCCATATACTTGTCTGCAAAAATGCTCGAATCAAATTTTGAACAAATGTTGATTCGCAAGGGGGAAGCTTGGTCAGAGACGCCTCTTTTGTAACAAAATATTTTACACGTAATGTACGTATTGATTATACTGTGTGCGCTTTTGAATTTACCCTTTTTGATCATAAACCAATGGAACTTCCAACTGAAATAGATTCATCAACATCACAGATTGGCAGGTTTACTCAATCGGACGCAGCACAACATACCTGTTATTGTTTACTTATGCCAAACATTGCTTATGTAGACTCACACCCTTAAATTGAAAGCATGGCAGGCACGCATTACTTTGGCTGACGATGGAATTCAAAAAATTGCATAGTTCATGTATAAGTATAAAGCGTCTTTCATCCTTGGTCTTGTTTCAAACTTTTGTGTTTTTCAGGGAAGAAAAATAGTGGACATAAAGAGCTAAAACGTCCGTGTCCTATGATCCTTCTTTTACAGGTACGACTTCTAACTTGTCTATCGGCATCCATGACATGCAAAATCATACGTGTGGATAAGCTTCTTCGTGGGTTCTATAAATCTCCACGCGATCAATGACAGTTTTTGCACAAAAGAGTTTCACCATTTGAGGATCGGAAAAAGTTCCAGCTAAAGTTAGTTTATCATTATTTGCTAGTGCATTAGGTTTGTTTTGGCGGTAACAAACAATAAAATTCCCAAGAAACTCTTGTTTATTTTTTTTGGAATATGAACACTTTTTACACATGTTACAGTCAAGATCCTTCGTGTAAAGTTTGATCTTTAATAACGTTCGGCTACCTTGATAGAAATTTTGAAACCCATATCTGTCAAAGACATCAACAACAGAGGTAGCCCTTGAAAAACAGCGGAGCTGAAATTGAATGAGCTCTATTCCCAGATCACTAAATGCCATACCTTCCCTAATCAAAATGATGAGCTATTTATCGAACTCGGAGAAAAGTAACAATACAATGTTTCTTTCTCGAGTTGATGACAAAGATCGGCTTTACATGATTATCTCATAGTTTCATCATAAAAAAGGGTTGTAGGGATCGAACTAATCGGAAATGTCGAAATTGTTTCAACAATGATGTCATCTCGACTATTCGCTAACATCAATGCTCTCGGAACACCAGTTTAGTATTGATATGAAGATTCAAAATTTCTCCTGTTTTAAACATTAAATTTGTTTTCTTCGTTAGGTCCTCAAATGTTTTAACATTGACCGAGGGATATTATCAAAAAAACTACGAGTCTCCCTCGTGCAAAGCAGTGATTCCTTGTCTGGATTTGGCTATACTTTGGGTCCTTTTTTGTTTGATCTGCTCTTCAACATTTTTATTTCATTTTGGATATTCAAATATTTTGGCCTCGAGCATCACCGAAGAGACATTAATTGCCGAAATGCGCATCTGGTGCATTAAAATTGGTACCGTTTAGGCCCTTCGATAAATTATTTTGAAAGTTTATCAACATCATCAAAGCCGACATTAACAGAGGTCTGCATTTCTTTCGATGCGTGCATTCCAGTTGACGTGCACCTCATTCAACCATTTATTCATTGCAAATACAAAAGTCGACTTCCCTATACTAGTTAATTGACTTTCAGTGGATGTTTTCATTTTTCAAAGGACTTGACGAGTCGTACATTTCGAGGAATTTTAGCTGAAAATATCCGTCAAAATATTTTTCTGACCACTAATGAATTTAATGTTATTCCAGGTGAGCGATTCACGGTAGCCTTTAGTTTCGTTTGGTTACGGAGTTAAAAAGCTTATTTCGACTTATTATTTTATTGCCGCTTATTTACTTTATTTCCATTTTTCAATTGTTTCATCAAATTGAAAATTCTGTCAACACGTATTCATGTTATGACCGTAATTTAAATATAGTTACAGGTATATCTAAAAATAGACTTCACATCAGGGAAGTTTGATAATACACAATATGGCGACTTCGGCGGTTATGAAGGTGGAATCTCTTAAAGACAACTTTGATGATTTATTAACATGCACTATTTGTCTTGAGACTTTCAAAGAGCCCAAGTATTTGCCCTGTCTTCATACGTTTTGTGAGTCATGTATTAACACTTATATCAATTCGACTGATAATGAGGAGAAACCAACAGGGTTCAAATGTCCTTTATGTAAACGCCTTGTTTCAATTGTTGACAATGTTGAAAACCCCAAAACATGGGCTAGACAATTACCTTTGAATCATTTGATAATGTCGATGATAGATAGAAAAGCAATGAAAACATCCGAGAAGCTTTGTGATGCTTGCAGTTTCAGAAATTTATCTCAGAATGCCGTGTCCTTTTGCACGGTATGCGAGGAGGCATATTGCGAAAACTGTGAGGTTCATCACAAAACATACAAAATAACGCGAAACCACAAAATCGTTCCAATCAAAGAAATAAATGCTGATAATTCTGCCTTAAATTTGTTGGGAGTTTTCACTTGTGACGAACATCCAGACGAGAGAATAAAGATATATTGCAAAGACCATACAAAGCCATGTTGTACAGTTTGTGCTACGGTCCATCATAGAAGGTGTGCACAAGTCGTTACCATAGATAAAGCTGTATCCGGTGTAAAAGATTCTACAAAGGCACATGATCTTATGAATAAGTTGAAAGAAAAAAGCGATCAGTTATGCAAAGTTCTTCAAAATCGCAAGCAAAACATATCAACATTTGAAAAAGAAATAGAAGCTATTGAGACAGGAATAAGTAACTTGCGGGAAAAGTTAAATAGACATTTAGATAAACTTGAACAAAAGTTAAAAGACGAAGTTAGGAACACACGGAAATCTAACGTCCTAAAACTGAACGATGAAACTATAGTATTATCCACACTAAAGAGCACCATTGATAATTGGAAGAATATTTTTGAGGCTTGTTTATTTCAAGGATCGGAATTACAATGTTTGGTTACAATGGAAGATATATTTAGTAAACTACCACAGTTCGAAGAGGATTTGTCTAAAGTAGTGCGTGAAATCCGAGAACTATCAGTAGAAATAGAAGTTACAGATGTTATTAAAAAAGTAGACACTCTTGGTAGTGTTAGTCTGAAAGAACGAAGACCTTCGATCTCTGGAATAAAGACCATAAATTTCCTCACAGGAAAATTTAAAGTTGTATTTACAATAGATATTAGTGGACACTATATAAGTGGAATATTCTTTAATGATGATATAGTTATAACAGATTATAGTAGTAAGAAGATAGTTAGCTATGACCCCAACGGACAAAAGAAGAAAGAACTAAAAATTTATGATAAACCGTCTGACATCACTAAAGTGAATGGTGAAACTGTTGCTGTGTCGTCATACCCACACAAGATCTTTGAGATTAATATTGAAGCAATGACATTACTGAGAACGCTGACCGTTAATGTAAATGTATGGGGATTGTGTTTTGTAGGAGATGAATATATTACCTCTCAATGTAAAACTATTTCATGGTTGAACTCTGAAACCGGTGCAAAACTTAGATGTTGTACTACGGGTTCAAATACACCATTTGTTACTTGTTACAAGTCGAATAAGTACATCTATACAAATAGCAATAATTCTATCAGACAAGAATCGACCACAGAAAAATGTTTCGATTACAATAGTAAAGCTTTAGTAACTCCGCTTAGCCAGGCTATTGATTATGATGGGAATGTTTACGCTGTTGGGCATGAATCTAAAAACATTCATCAGCTAACCTCTACTGGAGAATTCGTCCGAATAATTCCTTTATCCGATATAGATAATACATTGAATGCTAATCCGTGGGTAATGCGATTTAAAGAGGATAGTAACAGGTTTCTGTTGACGTTTCATTATCAAGGAAAAGTACGTATATGCGAAATTGAATAGAAAAGTACGTATATTCGAAATTGAATAGAAAAGTACGTATATGCGAAATTGAATAGAAAAGTACGTACATGCGAAATTGAATAGAAAAGTACGTATATGCGAAATTGAATAGAAAAGTACGTATATGCGAAATTGGATAGACAGGCCTTACTGGCTAAATTTGAAAAATAAAAATGTCACTAATATGTTAAAATGGATTACACAAAATGATTTGCTCTCATTTAATCTGTTGTTATATCACTAAAAATAAAATTAATCTGTTTAAACCAAATATTCCCTTAGTGGCCATTTGATATTAAAAAAGTGAAAGGAACAACAAACAATGAACGAGTAATTGCATTTAGGGAATTTTAGGTAATAAAAGACGGGAAATTGTTTTATTTTTGTCTTTTTGTCATGGGATTGCCAGTTTACTTTGGTATATGTCGCCTCTCTTTTAAACCTGTATGCACAGTAAAATTTTAATTTGATCACTGAAGGTGAAATCTTCGATATGACTGTTTCCACTACTTATTATCCTAGGCATGTATATGTATGACAATCAGTAAATCAATATATCCGTTGCTTAGATGGCCGCAGAAATAAAAGAGGGACGAAAGATACCAGAGGGACAGTCAAACTCATAGATCGAAAACTAACTGACAACGCCATGGCCAAAAATAAAAAGACAAATAGACAAATAATAGTACAGATGACACAACATAGAAAACTAAAGACTAAGCAACACGAACCCCACCAAAAACTGGGGGTGATCTCAGGTGCTCCAGAAGGGTAAGCAGATCCTGCTCCACATGTGGCACCCGTCGTGTTGCTTATGTTATTACAAATCCGGAAATAGTCTAATTCGGTAAGTCACATTCGTGAAAAGGGAATAATATATTACGTTTTAACGATTCACTCAGTTTTTGTTTGTTACTATAAAAATAAGGAGATGTGGTATGATTGCCAATAAGACAACTATCCACCAAAGTTCAAATGAAGTTGATGTTAGCAATTATAGGCAACCGTACGGCCTTCTAAAATGAGAAAACCCATACCGTATGGTCGGCTATAAAAGGTCACGACATGACAATTGTGAACCAATTCAACTGAGAAAACTAACGGCCTTATTTATAACAAAACAATTTACGAAAAACCAATATGACAGACATGAACCAACGACAACCACTGAACTACAGGCTCCTGACTTGGGACAGGCACATAGAGAATGTGGCGGGGTAAAACATGTTTGTGAGCGCTCAACCTCCCCCTAACCTGGGACAGTGGTGTAGCAGTACAACATAAGAACAAACTATAACAATCAGTTAAAAAAGGCTTGACTCAACAGATGGATACAAATAGAGATACATCTAGCAAAAACACAGAGTGGACGAGGACGGGTACTTATACATCCCCACAAAAAAAGACACTAAGTACAGATCTGAGAGTACTCGCAGTTACTGACAGCTAGTCCAAAGCCAATAACAACTAATAAAAAAAATCATGTATCTAAGACTAAAACCTATATTTGTAATTTCTAAATTGATTACAATTTATTATTCGATTTTTACCTGTAGAAAACTTTAAATTTTAAACAGGACAGCATATCCTAATTTGTACGGTGATGTTGTTTACCGAGCCCGGAAATTTAGATACGACTCGGGTAAACTTATCGATCCTTTTAAATAAACATATTCTAAAAGGTTACCGATTCAACAATGTAAATAAATCTTTGAATAAATGTTTTTTATAGGTACAAATATTGATTTTGTTATCAGTAATTTAAAACCATGCTAGATAATATTGTTACACATACATGCACTTTCATGGTTCTACAATCTATCGATACTATATTTTTGCATTGCACAAGGTCATGTTTTCTCTGACTGTTAATGACATCTTTACAATAAATCTATGAGATGTCGGATGTCAACTGATTGATATTTTGATCTAAGATACATGATTTTTTATTAGTTGTTATAGGCTTTGAATTAGCTGTCAGAAATTGCGAGTACTCTCAGAAGATCTTTACTTTGTGTCTTTTTTGTTGTATAAATTCCCTGCAACGTCCGGTCTGTGTTTTTGTCGTTGTTTTTTCTACTTTGTATCGATCTGTTGAGTTAAGCCCGTTCCAACAGATTTTTATAGTTTGTTTTTATATTGTACTGTTACACCACTATTCTAATGTAGGTGAGGGGTTGGTGCCAGTAAACATGTTGAACCACATTCTTGTGCCTGTCCCAAGTTAGCAGCCTGCAGTTTAGTAGTTGTCGTTGGTTCGTGTCTGTCATATTTGTTTTTTTCCGTAATTTTTTTTTGTTATAAAAAGTAAAATAACAAAAATACCGAACTCCAAGGAAAATTCAAAACGGAATGGAAAACAACTGTCATATTTCTGACTTTGTACAGGCATTTCCTTATGTAGATAATGGTGGATTAAATCTGGCTTTATAGCTAGATAAACCTCTCACTTGTATGACAGTCGCATAGAATTCCATTATATTGACAACAATGTGTGAGCAAAACCAAAAACAGACATTATAATTAAAATTATCAAAAATTGGGGTACAGCAGTCAACGTAGTGTAAAAAAATAGAATATGATTTTGTTTTTGTTCAATCATTAATGAAAGTGAAATAGTTTATAATAATTTGCTTTTAGCAGCCAATTTGGTTCAATTTTGTCAAAATAAGCTAAGAAACTTCGTTGAAGAATTATTCACTTGCAAGTGAATTATTCGACCTCATTCAATCCGTATTCATGTGACCTTCAATTCAACCCTTTAGCTAGATTTTGGTACGCATGAATTAGGCGTGCTAAGCTATCAAAAGGAAAAGAATGTCAACAATGAAAGTGAAACAAGGGTAAACCATTTAGCTGACTGATTTGATTCACGAAAACTCATTCTTATACAGGTAAAAACGATGATTGACATCTTTTATTAACCTATAGTATTAAATCAAACAGACCTAGAAAAATCCGATTGCACATGTTCGCTATCTATTTATATCTATATTTATGTTTATATCAGGTAATATGACCGTCGGCAGTCTTCGGAGGTCGCCCCGATGATTAATTAGATGGCGTCTAGACTAAAATACACACGAAATGCCGATACATATTATCGAGTTTAATAGTTTATTTAGCACTTTTTATAATTTGGATATACGTTTTAGTATGTTATAAATCAAATATGAGAAATTGAGTCAAATCGTTGAACATGAATTTGACAGCTAATGTCCCTTTAATCACTATAAAAACAAATAAGTATTTCAATAAAGAAAAACAAAATGGCATATAGACACTCTATAGACAAAGTACATAAGAAAAAATGAAGGACAAGAATACAAAAATGACCATAGCACAATAACACAATGGCGGTATGTATAAATATCGAGCCACGCTAAAAGTATATTACCAAAAATGGACTAAACGATAAAGGTTAAAATTAAACAAAGACAAATAAAAGGAATACTATAGATTAGGCAGAATAAAAGGAATACTATAGATTAGGCAGTTAGTTCTCCCAATTGAATAGTTTCACATTTTTCATGTCGGGGCTTTTTATAGCCGACTATACGATATGAGTTGTTCTTATTGTTGAAGGCCGTACGATAGCCTATAATTGCTTACATCCACTTCATTTGAATTTTGATTAATAGTTGTCTTATTGACAATCATACCACATCTCTTTTTTTGTAATATAAGATTTTAAGATCGGTAAACTTATATTGGCCAATTTGCCTATAAACGTGAATTTATATATAAATAGCGAAAAACAAACAGGAAAACTGAATTATTAATTTCAATATTAATTATATGAAAAATTGCATTGTAAGGGCTCTCATGTGTACAATTTTTGCCAGATTTTATCAAAGGTTTGTATTATCAATGTCTCAGACAAGCTCGGAAATCCCTTTTGATCCACCTTTTTATGCCCTTGAAAATATTAATTATATTGAAAATTGCATTATAAGCTTTCTCAAGCCTACATTTCTGCATAAAGATATTTATAAAAGTTTTGAAGAACCAAAACGTAAGTTTTTTTAAGTTATTGCCCTTGGACAGAAAAATATGTGCAACGCGGGGGACATTGGAACTCTGTTCTCTTATTAAAGTTGTATCTCGCGCACATGACATTTTCTAAGATCCGCCTAGTTTTCACACAGGCTAATTAAGTAAATGCAGGGGGTGGATCCAGAATTTTTGTAAAGGGAGGCGTAATTCCTTTTTGAACAGTGCAATTTTCAATAAAATTAATATTTCCGAGGGACATAACTCTTCTAAAAATAGTTGATCGACATTGATTCTCGTATTTGTCCTAGACATTGCTGATATAAACCTTTCATATAAATTTGATAAAAATCTGGCAAGAATTGTATACATAAGAGCGCTTTTTTCATATAAATTCATATTTCCAAGGGGCATAACTCTTCTTCAAATAATTGATCGAAACTGATTTTCGTACTTGTGCGAGAAATTGATGATATAAACCTATGATACAAGTTTTATAAAAATCTGGCAAGAATTACACACGTGAGAGCGCTAACAAGACCCGACTGACAAGCGCACGGACGCCCAGTTTTTCTTTGTCCCCGCAACGCTTTGCGCGGTGGGCCATAATCATTTTACTAACCTAAAGGGAAATGATTTGTATAATCTTCAAAAATCGTCTTTCGTCCATATGACATTGTGTTCTATTACAACAAGTATAAGAGTTGCAATAAAGATGAAATCTTATATTTTTATCAATTGTAGAATCACATTATTAAATGCAGGCGTTTTCTTCTGAATATATACTTAGTAGTAAATTTTGAAGGTGGGAGTTTCGGAATTCATTTTTATAGATTTACCTTATAGCATTATGGTAAATCAATTTAATAGTGAAACCTTTGATGAACTAATCACTCATAGGATCAATGTTGAACTGTGCTCACGATACCCCCCCCCCCCCCTTTTCCCTTTCTAATAAATATTTTGTAAGCAAGGAGTTTATGAGCAATGGATGTCAAAATGCATCAAACAGTTTAGCATGAAATCTGAAGCTTTAGTCCAAATTTCAGAAAGCACGGATTTGTACTTCATGAGGAAAATAAGAAAACATTTTCATAAATGGCATTAACGTGTAAGAATATAAATGTATTTAGTAAACAGAAAGTGGATGAGAGATGAATCTGAAAATGACACACGCAGCATAGCATGCTCACATGAAGCTTGATAGCTCAGTATAATTTGTAGCGTTCTGCAACTTTCAAAATGGCCACTTCTGGCTACCAATAACAATGGCGTATCTCCTCTCTTTAATGTTTTACACTCAACATTAACATCTGAAAAAAATCACTTATACATTACAAGTGTGTTAACAGATCAGTGTGGATATATA